TATTACAAAATATTACAAAATGCAATTCAGTCTCCCTATCAATTATTTCTGTCCCTTTGGAATTGCTTATTTCCCAGACTAAAGAGCAAGTCCACCGATCCTCTAATTCTCCCGGCTGAAGATGAATACAGCCCCCAATATGCCCCAAACTCTCATTTATAATCCTGGGAACTTTCTCTAACCGTGTGAGGATTGGGTGATGGAAATGCCACTCAAAACATGGGGGACCCAATAACATTCTGGAGAAAGGAAAGGAAAGAGGCAGAGACAAGAGAAAGGGGTATGCAAAGTTTGCAAATAGGGGTCCTTGCTTAGAAAAACCTCCATCAGTCAGTGAAAGAGGCTGAGAAATATAAATTCAAATAATCGTTGACTTACAACAATTCGTTTAGTGGCTACTTGAAGTTACAATGGTGTTGTAGCCCACCAGTGGCAAGCAGAGCTGGCAGCAGATTCGGACAGTGAGGAGGGTTGGAGAGGAACCTGGGCCAGTCCTGGAGTCTGGGGAAGGCTCTGATGAGGGCTCTGTGTCGGAGGCAGAGAGGGAGCCAGGACCGTATGCCAGTTATCAGCTGCCTTCGGAGTCAGACATTAGTGAGGCAGAAGAACAGCTGGAGCCTGTTCCCAGTGTGCGCATGCGCAGAGTGGCCAGACGAAGGGAACAGCTAAAGAACAGGGGCCGTCTTGGGAGTAAGGCCACAGGTGGACGGTGAATGGCCCCTCCCAGAGGGAATAAAAGAAGAGCGAAAGGGGAGTGGAGTTTGCAGGAGACAATTAGTTTGCATAATTGGTTCCTGACTCTCTGAGACTCCTTGCCAAGTTCTGCAGCTATCGGCCTGGCAGCTCTCCAAGCCAGATAAGGTCTGTGGCTGTAAATCCTCCCTTGAAAGACTTTGCTGGATGTGAAGGAGCAGAATTCACAGTCAATTAATAAAAGGGGTTTTTGTCAGGACAAGGAGTTTGTTTCATGCTCATGGGAAGCCTCGGTCAGAACAAATGGCACTTGGAAAAAGCGATTTATGACTAGTTTTTACGCTTGCAACTGTGGCAGCATCCCCATGATCACGTGATCAAAATTCAGACACTTGGCAACTGACTCATATTTACGACCCTCGCAGTGCGGTGACTCTCTGACAAAGCATCATCATCATCGGGGAAGTCAGATTCGCTCCACAACTGTGTTAGCTAACTTAACAACTGCAGTGATTAACAAACCTTCCAAGAAAGGCTGTGAAATGGGACAGAATTCCCTTAACAGTGGTCTCGTTTAGCAACTGGAATTTGGGGCTCAGTTGTGGTCGTACGTCGAGGACTACCCGCATATAAATAACATAATGCCAGGGGAAAAAAAAACACAACTGGAAGTTTATTGTTGCATGACAATATTAAAGGTGACTAATGACAGCCCACTTTAAGGGATTTAATGGACGTTAATTCAGTTCCTGAATTAAACAATAACACAACAATTCTGCTGTTCTCCAACTTCCTTATTTTTCATAAAGTCGTTGCAAAATCAGGAAGAATTTGATGAGGCAAAATTCCCCAGGTTTATATAATACTAGCTGATAACCTGATGATGCCTGGGTATTTATTTATCCCAACCAGTGGTGAAATTCAATTTTTTTACCACCGGTTCTGTGGGTGTGGCTTGGTGGGTGTGGCAGGGGAAGGATATTGTGAAATCCCCCATTCCCTCCCCACTCTGGGGACAGCCAGAGTTGGCATTTGCCGGTTCTCCGAACTACTCAAAATTTCCGCTACCGGTTCTCCAGAACCTGCTGGATTTCACCCCTGATTCCAATCCTCCTTCCATGAATGTTGCTGCAATTTCTAATTTTTTTCCCTCTTACCAGAGGGAAAAGTATTCCTTGTGGAATACTGTGAAGCTGTTACTATGGCAACTCCACAGCGCTGTACAGTAGAAGCCATTTAGAGGCACAACAGGCTGTATCTTCATAGCACCCCCCCCCCCCAAGGGGTGTTAGGGGTGTCTTACCCCCACAGTATTTGTTTCCAATGAGTAAGTAATCTGTGTAATCAAGTTTGGTTGAAATTGCTTGAGGCGTTCCAGAGTTATCTGAAATATACACGTACACACAGCCATATGTCTATGTATGTATGTATGTATGTATGTATGTGTATACATTATACATTACGCATTACACATTACACATTACACATATACTTATACATGTATACATACATACATACATACATATATATATAGAGAGAGATCATGGGGAATTCAATGAACAAAAATNGTACCCAGGTCCGATGCCATGAAGGGCTTTAAAAGTAACGACTAGCACCTTGAAGCGTGTCCGGAGACCAATGGGTAGCCAGTGTAGCTCGCGGAGGATAGGTGTAACGTGGGTGTACCTAGGTGCATCCACAATCGCTCGCGCGGCTGCATTCTGGACTAACTGGAGTCTTCGAACACTCTTCAAGGGCAGCCCCATGTAGAGCGCAAAAGCAGCCATGTAAATATTTCCCAAACAAGGCGCTGTGCAGGGAAAGACTTTGGCACAGAGTCTCTGAGATTCACGGACAGATCTTCACACTCCTGAATCAAATCTAACGAACGAACGAACGAATTGTTTCCTGCAAGAGCCCCCTCCCCTTTCGCTCCTCTTTTATTTCCTCTGGGAGGGGGCTAATCACCTTCCACCTGTGACTTTACTCTATCCTGATTTCTTAGCTGTTCTTTTCTTCTGGCAGCTCTGCGCAAACACACACTGGGAACAGGCTCCAGCTGTTCCTCTGCCTCACTCATGTCTGACTCCGAAGGCAGCTGAGAACTGTTCGACGGCCCTGGCCCCCTCTCTGCCTCCGACGTCCGAGCCCTCGTCCGACCCTTCCCCAGCCTCCAGGACTGGCCCAGGTTCCTCCTCAACCTCCTCACTGTCCGAATCTGCCGCCAGCTCTGCTGGCCACTGGCAGGCCACAACACTGAGGGATCTAGATGGTTGCAACTTCATGGAGTATCTCCAATAGTTCAGGGTAAGAGTTGGGTTTTTTTGAAATCTTGCAGATCAACCTATAGGTAATCCTCCACTTATGACCACAATCGAGCCCGAAATTTCTAAGTTGCTAAGCGAGACCATTGTTAAGTGAGTTTTATGCCCCATTTTTCGGCTCAGTCGTTAAGTGGATCGCTGCAGTTGTTAAGTTAGTAGCACCGTTGTTAAGCGAATCCAGCTTTCCCATTGACTTTGCATGCCTTGAAGGTCGGAAAAGGGGATCACGTGACTCAGGGACACTGCAACCGTCATAAATATGAGTCCATTGCCAAGCGTCCGAATTTTGATGACGTGACCATGGGGATGCTGGAGTGGTCATTAAGTGTGAAAACGGTCATGTCGTTTTTTTTCAATTGCTGTTTCAAATTTGAACCGTCATTAAATGAACCATTATTGTAATTCAAGAACTACCTGTAGAGGTATATTGCCTGACTTTCCAAATGATGATAAACTTCAACTCCCAGCATTCCTAGGCACTGATGGTGAGGAATGCTGGGAATTGTAGTACAACACCTGTAGAGTTTGCTGCTGGGGAAGGGACAGAAGACCGTGAGACCAATGTCTTAATTTGGATTGAGAGACAGACTGGTTGAAACTCACCCAGCTGGCTTTCGTGCCTCAGGCAGGGCTAGAACTCACCGTCTCCTGGTGATTGGCCCTAGCTGGCTTTCGTGCCTAAGGTGAGACTAGAACTCACCATCTCCTGTCGATTGGCCCAAAGTCACCCAGCCAACTTTCACAACTAAGATGGGACTAGAACTCACCGTCTCCTGTTGATTGGCCCAAAGTCTCCCTGCCAACTTTCATGTTTGAGACAGGACTAGAACTCGCCCTCACCTGGTTTCTAGCCTGGTGCCTTTCCCATTAGACCAAACTGACTCTCATCCTCACCTAGCAGAATGCCCCAGGTTCGAAACCTTATGCTCTGCTATGATCCCGGGGATTTCGAATCTTAGCGGAGTCTGTTGATTAGTGAATCAGGGACTCAAAGCATTGGAAGGGACCTGGGACATCATCTAGTCCAACCCGCCCCCCTCCAATCATAGGAGAAGACCGCTCCCTCCTTCCATTCTTCCTTCTGCCTGCAGAATCAAGCAACACCCCAGGCTGCTAAAGGCCTTAAATCAGCCACGGGGCCATAAAAAGTCATTTTCACACCTTGCTCACTTTTTAATTTTTTAATTTTTAAAAAAAGCAGGTGGCAACGCATCCACCCATGCAGAAATTTTATTTTATTTTATTTTTTGTTTCCTGCTCCTTTCCCCCCAAGTGCTGGGGGTCTCCAGCACTTGTCTGAGCTTTGATTCACTCCTTCCAGCTCCAAATTATTAACGCATTTGCCGAGCATTTAATGAGGCTTGCAAAAATTGCTGGTCTGCATCGTGGTTATCCCAGCTTCTTCCTTTCGGCACGAGGGAGGGGGGCATTGCCCTGTTTCTTGGTTTTTGGGAGGGNGAGGAAGGAAGGAAGGGAGGGAGGGGAAAGGGAAGGAGGAAGGGAGAAGGAGAAAGGAAGGATGGAAGGAAGGGGAAGGGGGAAGGAGAAAGGAAGGAAGGAAAGAAAGAAAGAAAGAATGGGAAGGGAGAAGGAGAAAGGAAGAAAGGAGGGAAGGGGAAGGAGAAAGAAAGGAAGGATGGAAGGAAGGGGAAGGGGAAGGAGAAAGGAAGGAAGGAGGGAAGGGGAAGGAGAAAGGGGGAAGGAGAAAGGAAGGAAGGACCAACAGACTTACATATATACCATTTTATAGTGCTTTGCAGCCCTTGTTAAGCGGTTTACAGAATCTGCCTATTGCCCTCAACCATCTGGGTCCACATTAAACCCACCTCGGAAGGACGGAAGGCTGAGTCAACCTTGAGCCTGGTGAGATTCGAACTGCCAAATTGCAGGCAGCCGGCAGGCAGCAGAAGGAGCCTGCAGTACTGATATTTTCAGCGAAAACATCCCTGTTTAAGGCGATGAAAAAGTAGTCCAATCTCTTACCTAAAGTCAGATTATCCGAACTGGAGTATCTCACACACTTGTCTCGTTCAGTCTGAATGGCTATCATGAGTGCGCACTCTGGAGATATTCCGGATACCTACACACACACACACACACAAAAATAAAATTCCAGAGGGGAAAAAAGTTAGAAACTGTTTTGTTTGTTATTCCGTTCTTAGAGGAGACTTTTCTTAAGTGAGTTTTGCTTACTTTTACGACCTCTCTTGCCACAGTTGTACAATAAATCATTGCAGTTGTTAAGTTAGTCACACGGTTGTTAAATGAATCTGGCTTCCTCCATTGGCATCGCTTGCCAGAAAGTCGCAAAAGGGGATTGCGTGACTCCTCCAGGGTCACTGAAACTGTCGTAAGTATGAGTCAGTGGTCAAGAAACTGAATTTTGATCAGGTAACCCTGGGGAGACTGCAATGGCTGTTTTAAGTGTGAAAAATCTTAGTTTTTTTTCCTGTGCTGTTGTAACTGTGAATGGTGACTAAATGAACGGTTGTAAATCAAGGACTACCTCCACAGCAACTGTCTTTTACGTCCAAATTTGCTCCCCAAATTCCAGCAGGTAAGTGGCGTTTCAGACACTCCCACCAACTACTAAAACCCTTGATAAATCCAGGCAAAAAATCTATTGGCAACATTTCCGGGCATTGAAACTGTAATAACTCCATTATGATATGATCTGTTTGCCAATAAAGCCATATTCCCTGAATAAATATTTCCACACCACCGCGCTCGGCACACCATTAGGTCGATAAATATTTGGGGTGGCTGAATTTGAACTAATCTCAGCCTTCCCAGCCACATCAGACGGGGAAACCGACGCAGATATGTTGATTCTACCTGAAAATATTTGTAGCTCAGGGTTGAATTGTGGCGTCCTTGATGATCTCTGAGTTTGGTGATTTCCTTGCACACGTTTCATNGAAAGCAATGGGAAGGGAAGGAAAGGAAGAAATGAAGGAAAGAGAGGAAAAGAAAAGGAAGGAGGAAGGAAGGAGGAAAAAGTAAGAAAGGAAAGAAAAAGGAACAGAAAGAAAAGAAAGAGGAAAAAGGATAGAAGGAAGAAAAGAGCAGAGAGAAGGACAGAAAGAGGGAAGGAAACAAGGGAGGAGGAAACAAAAGGAAGGAAGATAGAAAGAAAGGGAAAAGCGAGGAAAGAAGAAGAAATGAAGGAAAGAGAGGAAGGGAAGGAAAAGAAAAGAAGGAAGGAGGAAGGAAAAGAAGGAAGGAAGGAAACGAGGGAAGCTTTCAGGCAAGATTCGATACAGAGGAAAAATTCATAACCCTAATCCAGTGGTTCCCAAACTTGGCAACTTTTAAGACTTGTGGACTTCAACTCCCAGAATTCTCCAGCCAGCAGAACTCTGCTGCCTGGAGAATTCTGGGAGTTGAAGTCCACAAGTCTTCAAGTTGCCAAGTTTGGGAACCACTGCCCTAATCCAACTGTAGTTGCTAGTTCAAGACCACCTTTAATGGTTGTGGAGAGGGGGGGGGGGAAAGGGGAAGAATTATCCGTTCAGACTTATAAGATTTTTTCCTCTTTTTTTGTTGTCTCCTTGCAAGAAAAGCAGCGTTAATACTCCTGGTATTGATTTCTTGTCCGGCTGCCTTGTAGGCTGACAGATCTCCCATATTGTCTTTCACAGGCTATTTTCCCGTACCAGATATTAAGCAAATGTTCTCCACTTGTCTGAAAGAATTCTTGCACATGATAATGCTTTGACATATTTATTGCAAGCCGGGAAAAAAAACCCATTTATTCTTGCTGCCGTTTTAATGGAAAAGTCTCGGCTATGTTGTCTCTGCTATCCCCCCTTCTCTGCAGCATGACAACTACCGTAAATTAACACAAGTAGTCCTCAACTTATAACAGCTTATTTAGTAACCATTCAAAGTTACAATGGCACTTATGACAGTTTCCCACACTTATAAATGTCGCGGCAACTGTGGGTCACGAGATCAACATTCCGACGCCTGGCGACTGACCCATATTTATGACGGTTGCGATCTATTTATGACGACTGCAATGCAGAAGAAGATCACAAGGTCCATTGTGTGTTTTGAGCTAGGCTTCCCCTAAAAGCATGAGGCAGAGTCCCGACAAAACCCCTTTTAGGAAACGAATGTGAATTCCTCCCATTCACATTCAGCAAAGGCCTGGTAAGCAGCCTTTCAAAGGAGTAATTATGACTACAGACCTTATCTGTCTTATTATTATTTATTATTTATTTATTAGTTTTGTATGCCGCCCGCTCTCGGGAGACTCAGGGCGGCTTACAAACAAAGGGAGGGGGAATATAAAAAAATAAAACAACAATTTAAAATTGCAACAACATTCATGACTTAGGATGGGGCTGGGTAATTCAACAGCCCCAGGCCTTCTGGAACAGCCAGGTCTTAGTTGCTTTACGGAAGGCCGGAAGGGTAGTAAGGGTCCG